TATCGTCGCCATTGGCGTCGGCGGCCTCCTCCTCCTCCTCCACTTCCTCACCCTGACGGTCGCCCCTCCCCCGGCCTTCCGCGCCCCCCATCATCCGTCCCGCCAGGCGTACTGTGTATAACAGCGCGCTTCTCAGCCTCCTCATCCTCCTCCTTGCCCCCCTCCTCCTCCTCCTCCTCCTCCTCCTCCTCCCCCCCCTCCTCCCCTCCTCCTCCTCCTCCTCCCCCCTCTCATTCCCCAGGCGGCCTCCACGAGGCTCTGGCAGTAAGCGTTTTCCCCGAGCCGATCTCGTTCAGCTGCTCTAAGATGTTCGCGAAGGGCTGGCGACGGGGAGAAGGAGCAACGATCGCGCATGAGGAGGGGCGGGGCGAGGGGGGAGGGGGGGCGGCGAGGGCGACGAGGTGGGAGACGGGTACAAGAGACCGCACGGAACAACAGAAGGTTGACGTATTCTTCTCGCCACTTTCCCCCCCCCCCTCCTCGCCCCCCCCCCTTCATTGGTCCTCCTCCTTCCCCCCTCGCTACTGCTACTCATCACTAATCCGCCCCCTCGTCGCCATCGCCCTCGCCATCGTCACCATTATCATCGCCCTCGTCGTCATCGTCATCGCGAACCTTACCTTCCCCCCCATCCTCCACCCGCACACGGCTCATTCTCATCATCGTGGCCATCGTCGCAAGCATCGCATCGTCGCCGTCTCTACCCCCCCCCCCCCCCTGGCCCCTCGGCGCCTCGGTCTCCTCGGATCTGGTGCGGCGCGCGAACTTCGCAGGCGAGTAGGACCAGTCAGGGCACGCGCCGCCTGCGGGGAAGGGGCCTCCATTGGTCATCGCCCTCATCATCCTCACCCCCATCCTCCCCCTCTTCGCCATGACCCGATCCTCCTCGTCCTTATCAGCGCCAGCATCATCGCCATCCTCATCGCCCTCATCCCCCCCCCCCCCCCCCCATCATCACCCCCATCCTCATGACTGCGCTCACCTCATCGTCATCCTACTCATCGTCATCCTTCTCGCCCTGATCCTCACCCACCTCCCCCCAAACCTCGCCCTCATCATCCTCATCGGCCTCCTCCTCATACTCACCCTCATCATCCTCATCCTCATCCTCGTCCTCGTCATCCCCCCCATCCCCATCCGCGTCGCCCCCCTCGTCGCCCCCGTCGCACTCCTCATCGTCATCCTCATCAGCATCATCGCCCTCATCCTCATCATCATCATCCTCGCCCCCCTCGCCCTCACCCTCGGCGCCCTCGTCCGCCCGAGCGGCTTCGAGGGGCGGCCAGGTCTCAAGCCGCGAAGCCCACGCCACCTGGGCAAATGGGGGGGGGGAGGGCTGCCACCACCCCTCCTTCTCCTCCTCTTCCTCCTCCTCGAGCCTCCTCTCCCTCCTCCTCCACCCCGCCTTCCTGTTCTACTTCGATCGTTCCTCCACGTCTCCCTGCCCCTCCTACCTCCTCCTCGCCATCCTCCTCGCAATCCTTCTCCTCGCCCCATCCGACTGTAAACAGTCGCCATACTATCCCCGCCCCACTCCCAGACCTCTTCCAGCCGCTGTGTTCAATGCTGAGGGCGGGTCTGGGGATCGGAGGGCATGAGGATGAGAGAGGTCTATGGGGAGGCATTCGACTGCGCGGGCAGAGGAGGATGACGAGGACTGCAAGGAGGAGGAGGTGGAGGAGGAGGAGGAAGAGTATCGGGGGCGGGTGAGTTTCGCCGCAGGCGTTCGACTACGGCACTCTGGCGGTGCATCCCTTCGCACCCTCTCCGCCCAATTTCCCCACTCGTTCCTCCCCCCCCCCGTTCGGCGCCCCCCTCCGCCCCCCCCCCCCCCCCACCCCCCCCTTCCCCCCCCCCACGCACGCACGCACGCACACACACACCACACACACACACACACACACCACACACACACACACACACACCACCACACACACACCACACACACACACACCACACACACACACACACACACACACACCACACACACACACACACACACACACACACACACACACACACACCACACACACACCCACCCACCCACCCACCCGCCCGGGCTCGCCCCCTCCCCGTTCGACCCGCGCGGACGTCAGCGATCGCGCTCGGCCCCACGTCGGCCGTCCTCTCGTGGTTGCAGTTCGGGCTGTGCTTCGGCGCCATCACTCGCTTGGCACTTCCTCCGCCTGCTCCTCATCCCCTTCCTCGTCCCCCTCCTCCTCTCTTCCTCCTCCTCGTATTCTTCCTTGCATCATCCTCCTCGCAGTGCCATGTTCCTCAGATTTCCTCCCCCCCCCCCTCCTTTCAGCATCCTCCTCCACGTTTTGTTTGAACACCGTTTGTCTAGACGCCGAGCGGCACCCTGACCAGCAGACTTCCCGCTGGCACGAGAAGCTCGGCATCCAGGGAACAGAGCGCACTGCTCTGGCCCAGCACCCCGCGCGCGCTCAGGGGGATCAGACTGCCGAGGGGGCGGCAGGCGAAACACAACAACACAATGATGAGTATACCATAACAACAATGAAACACAACGCAACACCATCCACCCGCAGGAACCACATGCCGCGCCGCGGCGGCGCGCCCAGCCTGAATCCGCGCGGGGGCCACGGAGGCCCCCTTGCGACTTCGAAGGGGGCCGTCGCAAATGCCAGCAGCCAGGCATGGCCAAGCGCACTTGGCTGCGCCTGCGCTGCGACGAGCCGCCGCGCGAGGCCAGCCCCCCCCCCCCCCCCCCCCCCATATGCGAGCGGATAGGCGCCCGGGCCGCGCGTGCGAAGCGTGATCGCCCCCCCTCCTTCAGCCTCCCCCCTTCCCCCCCTCATTTAGCCCCCCCCCCACCCCATTCCCCCCTCCCTCGTCCCCCCCCCCCCCCCCCCCTCCTCCTCCTCCTCCTCTCCTCCTCCCCCCCTCCTCCTCCTCCTCCTCCTTCCTCCTCCTCCTCCTCCTCCTCCTCCTCCTCCTCCTCCTCCTCCTCCTCCTCCCCTCCTCTACCGGCCCCTCCTCCACCCGCCCTCCGAGCCCGCGCTGCTCGGGCGCGCGCGCGCCGCGCGGGCGCCGCGGCGGGCGGGGGCCCTCGAGCCGCGGCGCTCCCGCGCGCGAGCGCGGGACGCAGCCCCTTCTCTTCCCCCTTCCCCCCCCCCCCCCCCCTCCTCCTTCCGCGCCCGCTCCGCCTCGACCTCCCTTTTTTTTTTTAATTTTATTGATTATTATTATTATTATTATTCTCCTCGTCCTCCTCCTCCTCCTCCTCCTCATCCTCCTCCTTCTCTTGTTCTACCCCCACCTCCTTCTACCCCCCCCCCCTCTTTCTCCTTTCCCAAGCGCCAGTGGCGAGGAAGAGGATGCCTGAGATCGAAGGAGGAGAGTGATTTATTGTTGCTGTGCATTGCCGCTGGGCAGGGGGAACATCTCTAGCGGCTAGTGCGAAGTTGCTCGCAAACATGGTTTCTTTTAAATAGTATGGCAAACGCGTGCTACCTTCACAATCCAAGCGATCACCGCGAGGATAACACTCCAGGCCAACGAGGCGACTTTTCGACTGTGGACAATATAGAGCTAACTCTGCACGCGCGGCGGGTGACCCGCGCGCGCGCGCGGGTCACCCGAAACCCGTTTGGCCACCGTAGTCGTCAGGGCTCACGTTGGTTCCCAAGCCAACGTGGCAACTTTTCGACAGTGTACATTGAAGAACCCTCCACGCGCACGACAGCGGGGGTGGCCGCCGTATATAGAAAGCATACATTGGAACACATGTTAACTTCAAAGTCCAATCGGTCACGGGTTCACTGTAGCTGCCAGGCCAAAACGGCGACTTTTCGAGTGTGGCCAGTGCGCGCGCGGGCGGCATGCGCCACCCGCGCGCGCACCTTGACCAAGCACACGCTTTCATTTCCAAGCCACCAAGATGAGTCTTCAATATATGTGTGGGGCAGGCGGGGGGTGAGCGATAGCTCATCGAATTAAGGAGAAATGTATTTCCCTCTTCAATCGGCCAAAGCTGTTGACAGAGCTTAAACTCCCATGGGCACCTATATTTATATTTACAGAGGCCTCTGCACGGAGCTCGAAAGGTCTACTCTCTTTTGCACGGACCGACCCCCCACGCCAGAGCACAGACCGCACCCCGAGGCCAGGGCTGGATTCGCAGACCACCATCCGCAGACTGGGGTCGGCCACCATCACGGGAGACTGGGGCCAGAACGCTCCACGGCCTCGGGGGCCAGGGGAGGCTCGACGGCCTTGGGGGGGCCCAGCAAAGAGAACCCCCTGAGAGCCCAGCAGGACCGTGCCCAAGAAGCTCGAGCTCTCGCGAGACTCATGATGCATTCACCACTTAGGGTGGTATGTGGGTGGGCCAGAACAGCTGCCATGCAAGCGAATGCGGCCGATGTGACACGCTACCCCCCTGACGCCCACACATCTACCGTAAACGTATACATGTGTGGGGCAGGCGGGGGGTGAGCGATAGCTCATCGAATTAAGGAGAAATGTATTTCCCTTTTCAATCGGCCAAAGCTGTTGACAGAGCTTAAACTCCCATGGGCACCTATATTTATATTTACAGAGGCCTCTGCACGGAGCTCGAAAGGTCTACTCTCTTTTGCACGGACCGACCCCCCACGCCAGAGCACAGACCGCACCCCGAGGCCAGAGCTGGATTAGCAGACCACCATCCGCAGACTGGGGTCGGCCACCATCACGGGAGACTGGGGCCAGAACGCTCCACGGCCTCGGGGGCCAGGGGAGGCTCGACGGCCTTGGGGGGCCCAGCAAAGAGAACCCCCTGAGAGCCCAGCAGGACCGTGCCCAAGAAGCTCGCCAACTCTCGAAAAAGACACCAAGCTCTCCATTCAGTGTTTTTCCTCTGGCCGTAGGCCGAAGATATGTCAAGCCTGGCGACGGCAGCGCGGGCAGCAGCTCGCACCAGACATCAAAAAATTGTTGCAGCAGGTCACGGGCTGCAAAACGCTCGGACTCGAGCGAAAAGTGCATTAGAGAACTGCTGGAGCGTCGAACGGGTACGATCCTGGAGCTTCATTTCTGCGATGATGGCAGCCCCGTCTTGGATGTATATCTTTGCCGTTCTTGCCGAGCTCCAGCGCCCACGCAACATGACCTTAGACAAGTCGCCCGACAGCAGGAACTCATGCGTGGCGCCTCCGCGCCTCAGGCTGTAAGGAGACAGGGCGAGGTGCCTGCAACCGATCTGCTGGAGCCCAGTACGGAACAAATCGTGAAAGGCGCGCGTCGTGCCAGGCCAGAGCCGGCTGTCACGCTGGAGCTGCATATGGACGACTGCCCCAACCAGCGGGTCGTCAAGCGCGACTTGTTCCCGCGCGCCCTTCTGGCAAGAGGTCTTGGCCCAGGGCAACGACACCGCGCCTCGGCCACAGGGCTTCAGAGAGATGACGCCGCCGCTCAGCCCCAACGCCTCGCCAGTGCGGAGACAAAGATGGAAGGCCACGAGCAGCACGGCTGCGAAGGCTACCTCTCCGCGGCTGAGCGCCCAACCGGCGCGCGCCGTGCAGACCTGGGCAGGCATCGGCGGCGCGCGCTGGGGGATCTCCAGTCTGCCCCAGACTGTCAGCAGCTGCCAAGCGCCAGGATAGCGGCGTCGTGTCTTCAGCAGGTGCTGCACGCCGCTGAGGGTGTCATTGGCTTCTCCTTTTGTGGCGCCCTCGGCCCACAAGTGCTCAAGATAATCCTGCAAGCAGATATCAATATCGTCCCAGGTGAAAGGCAGCGGCAGGTTATTGGCAGCAAGGTAGTCAACAAAACGCTGAGCGGCGCCACGGTAGCGGGCCAGTGTCGAGGCCTTTGTCCTGGCGCCTCTCAGCTTCCCCAACCCAGCTCTGGCGGCGCGGCGGTCAGCAGGGCTACTCCGCTTCTTACCCATCGCGGAGACGCGAGGGGGCGTCCGCGGGGTTGCGAGCCGACGACGTGAAGCCGAAGACCGCCCGCGCGCCCATCGCAAGCTCCCACGCCGAGAAGGTCCGCACCACATTGTTGAGCTGAGGACTGCTGGAACGGCGCTTGGACAGCGCACCGATGTTGACCATGCTGTCGAGCAGGTGCAGGAAGACGCACTGATGGCGGCGCACCGACCGCGCCCGCCATCGAATCATCATCAGCGCGCCCTGGCACTCAAGAACGTTGATGTGCTCTGCTGCATCCCACACTAGCTGCCTTGCCTTGCGCCACCGCCAAATGCCTGAGTCGATCTCCTGCCGCGGGAAGATCTTGCCGAGCGCCTCCGAGGCGCCATCGGTCCTGATGTCTGCTCCGTTGTTGTGGCACGCCATGACGAGCCCCATGACGATGCGTCTGGACGCGTCCAGCTCGCGCCACTCCACCACGTCGCGCTTCGCCAACTCCGCCAAGAGGATGTCGGCATGGCACGCCTGGTCGGGCCCACAGTGACAGACCAGTAGGGCCCCGCGCAGCGTCTCCAAGCTCTGCAGGAGGGTGGGCTGCGCGCGGATCCAACCAGCGAGCAGGGCAACAGCGTCCTCGCGTGACCGCTCGGGGCTGATCGTGAAAGGGTTGCCCCACCGCGAGGCAGCCAGCCCCCAGCGGCGAGACCCACGACCCACGTAGATGGGCCCGCCGGGCTGGTCCAGCTTGGCGTGCAAGCCCTCGTCGATCTCGGAGCGACCGCACCGCAGCGACGTCACGTCGCCGGCCCACAGCTTCCTGCCACCAGCCCAGGCTCGCGCACTCTCGTGCAGCTCACCCAGCGAGGACACCGAGACCAGCAGCCCAGCTCCGACGGCCCAGTGGCTGATGATCCAGGCCACGACCTCGCACTGGAAGGAGTTGCCCACGAGCGACCGCCGAAGAGCCTCGTACTTGGCGGGCTCGGCCTTCGCCTGGCTGCTCGTCATGCACGGCACGGCGTGGCCCTCCGGGAAGCCCATCAGCTTCTCTCGTATGGTCGCGTCAGGCGGCTCCACGCGGCCATCCGCCTGGTGGATGCACCACTTGTCACGGAACTGGTAGGGCGGCGAAGCGAAGCCCGCCGCCTCCCAGCGCGCCAGCTCAGCAGCGCTGCACTCCCCAATGCCCGCAGGCCTGGGGCGCGGCTGCGAGCGCGGCGTCCAGCGCACGAAGGTCGGGAGCGGCTCCCCTGCGGCGGGACCCGGACACGCAGCCCCGGGCGGGAGCCACTCCTCGAGCGGCGGCCGCTCCGCCTTCAGCGCCACCTTGCAGGCGCGCCGAACGTCCTGGGTCTTCGCCCGCACCACGACGGGCTCAGCCTCGAAGGACGGCAGGAGGTCCCACGAAGCCCAGTAGAGCCGCGGACGTCTGACCCAGCCGACATCTCCCGCTTCAATCTCCAGCGGGATGCGGCCGAAGAGCTGGTTCAGGCGCAGCACATCGCACTCGGGCATCGACGCGACGTTGTCCCCGAGGAAGTCGATCGACGCCTCCGGCATGGCCGTCCGCAGCCCGTCCACGATCCGCACCATGTGGTCAACCAGGCCCGCGCGCGGGTCGTCGAGACCCTGCCGAGCGACGTTGAGACCCGCGAAGACCTGGCACGGGAAGCCGCCCACCACCAGCACACGCGACACCCGGCCTCGGGCGCGCATCAGGGCTGCCAGGGCCACCGGGTCCGCCTCCGTCACGTCCCCCAGGTGCTGCGTGCTGGGGTAGCTGCGCCGGGCCACCCGCACCGCCGTGGGGTCAACCTCGAATGACAGGTGTACGGCAGGGACCAGTCCGAGGATCTCGAAAGCCCGGCGCCCACCGCCGATGCCGTCGAAGACAGTCACGAGGGCGGTCTCCTCCTCGCAGGCGGCGTTCGCGGGCCGCTGCCGCCTCTCGGCCAGCGCGCGCCCGCGGTCGGAGAGGGCGTAGCCGTAGACCACGGCGCCAGCGGCCTCCGAGGCATCCGACGCGGTCACCAGGGGGTCGACCTCGAGGCGCAGGTCAGCGACGCAAAGCCCTGACAGCGCAAGACACATCAAGAGGTCCTCGAACACGCTCACGCTGAAGCGGCCGCCAGTGCGCGGGTTCCCGAGCCACTTCCAGGTGTAGGCAAAGCTGGCCGCCAGCGGCCGCCGGAAGCAGTGAACTCGAACCTAGCGGCCCAGCAGGATGCGCACCAGCCGCATGCTGGCCCGCTTCTTGCTCAGCGTCCACAGCGTGAGGCTGGCCATCTCGGTAAGGTAACCCGCAGGGGGGCGCCGCGCGCCCTCGACCCCGTCGATGAGCTCCCCCAAGGTTGTCGCTCGAGGCACTCGATGGATGTCCTTGGACGGCGACCCCGGGGAGCCCGCAGCCGCATAGCAGGCACGAGCCTCGGAGATGAGCTCGGGCACCGTCCCTCGCAACGTCGCGGCCTCGGACTTGCTCACGACCTCCGCGACCTCCAGGTTGTCAATGTAGACCATCCACGCCGGAGGGCACGGCTTCTCCACGCTGAACGGCAGCCGTCGGCGCCGAGTGATCTCCTGGCTGGGCGGCAGGCCGCGAGGGACAGAGGCGCTCCGCCGCGGCATGTTCCGGTGGAGGTGGGTCGTCACGCCCACGGCACTGATCCAGCCCATGCCGATCACCCGCAGGCAGATGCGCGTAGTCCCACCGTCCTTCAGCCCAAGCAACTCCGAGGGGACGGGCGGCCCTATCACCATGTAAGGCCACCACACAGGCGGCGCGCGGAAGACGTAGAAGAAGGCCTTCCTGTCCGCGCCGCTCCACAGGAGATCCTCCGACTCGGTCAGCACCAGGCCGTTCAGCTGGCTCATGGTCGGCATCTCAGGGGTGTCTCCCACGATGCACTCCTGGCACGCGTTCGAGGGGATAAGGTTGGTGATCAGCCTCAGGACCGGCCTGCGCTCGCCGTCGCTGCAGACCACGGGCTCGTCGTGGGGCTTGGGCACCCCGAACGCCCCGTTCAGGAGCGGGGCTCCGTCGCGACAGGCAATCTCGCTGCTCGGGATCGCCGACACCATCCCGCGCTCGTGGAGCGCCCGCACGATCCGATGCCACTCCTCGAGCGAGGCCCACACGCGCGCAAATGTCGGCGCCGGCCGCCGCAGGGCAGCGGGCAGCAGCACCAACGTCGGGTCCAGGAGGGCCTCACGCACGAACCCCGTCGCGAGGTCGGCCGCCTCGATGGAGGCCGCGACGCCTGGCGGCGGCAGCCCGTCCAGCACCTGCTCCAGCGTCAGCCGATGCGGGGCCGAGATCTCGTCCCCGCCGTAGCCGATCTCGTGGTCCTTCAGCCGCACGTTCCAGTCAAGATCTGGCGGTAGAGCAGACTCGGCCCGCGTAGCCAAGAGGAAGCGGCGGCCGAGAGCGACCAGGGCTGCCTGCTGCGCGGCGTTGGCTCGACCTCGGCAGGGCCTGGCCAGCTTCAGGGAGCGGAACCCAGACTTCCAGTTTAGCGCCAGGACAGTGACCACCAGCCTGCAGCGTAGTCCTTCCCACTCCTTGTCGCTCAAAGGGTCCTCGCCCTGACGGACGATCTGGGACCTGTTGATCGAAGAGTATGGTAACGGCAACAGATCTCGCTGAAGCCGACCTCCCATGTCGGCCGGATGCTCGCGTGGCTTTACCTCGAGGGAATATCTAGTGAAGCGACCGAAGGAGCCTGGGAACTGGCGGACTATGTTCAAGAACACGGGGCCCACGTCAAAAGGTTCTCGCAGAAGATCACTCGCCGCACCAGCCCACTCGCGCCACTCTGCCAGCGGATCACCGTAACAGTCGGCATCCGTACCGCAGGCCGGCGGGCACGACGAGGACGCTGGGCGGCGAGAGGCGGCAGCACCACCACGGTCAGGAGCCAATCTCGGAGGCGGCGAGCGCGACGGTGAAGTCCAGGGCGGTCTGCGCGAGCGGGCAACCTCGGCAAACTCGGTCGCACTCGCACGCGCATCATCAGCGCTGGCACCATCAGCTCGCTGCCTCACCTCAGCGTCGCAGGAAGGCCGCCTTGGCCCCGGCCCCGGTGCTTCCTGCCGCCACGGCGGCGGCCGCTCGGGGGGGCCGGGCCTCGCGGCGGACCTTGCTGCAGGCCCGCTGCCGCCGCAGCCGCGGGCTGGTCCTGCCTGAAGACGTGGCGCTCCGGGCTCGTCGCCAGCGAGACACGCCTCGGCCCGTCCGCCGCCCTCGGGTGCGGGCTGTCGCCTCGAGGCGTCCTCGGCGCCCCCGGAGACGGCGACCTGCCCGCGCTGCCTGAGCGCGCTGCGCCTGGCGGACCCGCGGGCGGGGCTGCGGCTGCGGGCCCTGCCCAAGGCCGCGCTGGGCTCCCCGCCCGCAGGGGGAAGAAGCGGCCTCGGCCGCGCCCGCGGCTCTTCCCGCGACCACGGCCCTGCTGGCGGCTCGGCGAGGGCGAGTGGGCTCCGCCGCTCCCGCGCCTCGCCTCCTCGGGTCAGGCTCGTCGCTCGCCCTGACCCTTGCCGCCGAGGCCGCCGCGGCTCTTCGCGTCCATCAGCTTCCTGCGCAGCAGTGCCGCCCGCCGCGCCAGATCCTGCTCGCCCATCGAGGCCAGCGAGGGCCGCGCGTCCGGCGCGATCTCCAGCTCGCTCGCCACCTGCCAGCTCGCGTCGGACAGCGACAGCTCCAGAGCCTTGAAGCGCTGCATCAACACGTCGCTCAACTCCGCCAGGCACCCACTCTCCAGCAGGTCCAGCGCGGTCGCCAGCGTCTGCAGCTCCCGCTGAGTGTTGATCCGCATCTGCCCTGGAGGGTGATGGCCGAACACCACGGCCTGCAGGTAGCCCACGACCTTCGCTCGAACCTCTGAGCCGTCCGCCCCCTCCCGCAGGCCCATGACGCGCCCGATGTTCTTCATCACCTCGTCATACAGGGCACCTGGGCGCTTCTCCGCCAGCGGCCGTACGCTGCCGCCGCGGGAGGGGGCCTCGCGAAAACGCGACTCACCGTCGTCGTCGCTGCGCGAGGCCGAGGAGCTCCGGGGGCGGCGGCGGCCGCGACCGCCACCAGCGCGGCCAGACGTCGCCGCAGCAGCCTGCGCGCGCGCCGCGGCAGCTGCCGCCAGGCGGTCGGGGGCCGCGCCCCCGGCTGGGGCGCCCCCCGCCAAGGCGCCGCCGCCGCCGCGCCCACCGAAGGCGCTCGGCCGCACCCACGGCTCCACGAACCCGCGGTACGAGCGCAGCCGCAGCCACTCGACATGCAGGACTCCTCGGCCTGGCACAGCGGGGTCCCCGCAGAGCGCCGGTCCCTGCCCGCGCAAGTGCAGGGGGCCCGCAGGCCCGCTCCCGCGCGGCGGGAAAAGGCCGTCCAGCCGCATCGCCTCGGCCGCCAGCGACGCACCCCTGAACTGGGCGCTCAGGTACTGCCCTGAGGGGCCCGCGGTGCCGGTCTCCTCTACCTCGAAGAGGGCCGTCCCGCTGATGCCTCCAGCTGCGTCGAAGGTCGGGAGCTCGAGATTCACCCCTCGGCGCCAGTCGGCGCCAATCAGAGTCGCGGCCTGACGCCACGGACCGTCCACGAGTGGTCCCAGCTGCGCGACACCCGCTGGGGCGATGGGACCGCCAGCCACCGCGATCGGCACGCCAGGGATCGCCGGGGCCCCAGGCACCGCACCAGGAGGAGGGCCTCCAGGAAGGCCGTCGCCGCCGCCCGCGAGCGCGCCCACCAGCGCGGCGCCCACGCCGCCGGGGGGGGCACCTACGCCGTCAGGCACGGCGCCGCCCGCCGGGGGCGCCCCAGCAGCCCCGCCGCCTCCGAAGCCCGGCAGGCCGGGCAGCGCCGCCAGGCCAGGCGCCACGGGCGCGCCGGCACCGCCGCCCGCGGGCGCGGCCGCTGCGGCGCCGCCGACCGCCTCGGCCGCCGCCAGGCCCGGGGCAACAGGCGGGAAGGCGGCGGCACCTCCGCCTCTCCCCGCGGCCCCTCGCCCGAGGCCGCCGGCGCCGCGCCCTCGGCCGCGGGCGCGTCCTCGGCCCAAGGCCTTCGCCTTAGCCTTAGCCTTGGCTTTGCCCTTGGCGACGGCCTTCGCCTTCGGCGCCATCGAGCCCCAGGCCGGCGAGCGCGGAGAGCAGCGCGCCCAGGAGCCGAGCGGAGTCGAGCAGCGCCGCCCTCTCCTCCACGCTGAGGCGGGCGCGCCACGCCGCCTGCCGAATCAAACCGATGATGTAGCACAGCTCGCAGACCTCCAGGAGGGACCCGCCCTCGGCCAGGGCCAGCGACTCCCCTCGCCCGAGGGGTCCCGCGCACCACCCGCAGTATCGCACGGGCGAAGGGCGCGGCACGGCGGTCCCGGGGGCGTCCATGCCCTCCCTGGAGGGCGCGGAACCAGCCAGAACAGCTGCCATGCAAGCGAATGCGGCCGATGTGACACGCTACCCCCCTGACGCCCACACATCTACCGTAAACGTATACATTGGGGACACCAGCAATATCGCATGTTAACTTCAAAATCCAATCGGCCACCGTTAAGGGTTCACTTTAGTTTCCAAGTCAGCATGGCGACTTTTCGATTGTGGACGAGACAGAACTCCCCAACGCGCGCGCGGGTGACACGTGTCATCCGCGTGCGCGACCGTCGGCCAACGTGAATGTGACTTTTCGAAATATCAGTGAAACCAGCAATATCGCATGTTAACTGCAAAATCCAATCGGTCACCGTTAAGGGTTCACTTTAGTTTCCAAGGCAGCATGGCGACATTTCGATTGTGGACAAGACAGAACTCTCCAACGCGCGCGCGGGTGACACGTGTCATCTGCGTGCGCGCCCGTCGGCCAACGTTATATGTGAGTTTTCGATATACCGGTAAAACCAGCAATATCGCATGTTAACTGCAAAATCCAATCGGTCACCGTAAAGGGTTCACTTTAGTTTCCAAGTCAGCATGGCGACTTTTCGATTGTGAACAAGACAGAACTCCCCAACGCGCGCGCGGGTGACACGCGTCATCCGCGCGCGCCCGTTGGTCAACGCGAAGGGTTCTCTGTAGTTTTCGATATGTTGGGGAAGCCAGCAATATCGCATGATAACTTCAAAATCCAATCGGTCGCCGTTAAGGGTTCACTTTAGTTTCCAAGGCAGCATGGCGACTTTTCGATTGTGAATCATGCAGAACTAACAGAGCGCGCGCGAGTTGTGTTGTTCATAGCAAAAAACCACACACCCAACACACATATTAATTTCAAAATGAGATCGGTCACCATTCATGTAGTTCCCAGGCCAACATGGCGACTTGTCGAATGTGGAACTCGTCGCGCGCGCTCTCGGATTGTATTGTCCACAATCGAACAGTTGCCATGTTGGCCTGGGAATGTAAAGTACATCTTTATAGGTGACCGATTAGATGTTGAAGTTCGCATGCGTCTCCGCTGGCTTCTACAATCGAAAACGCACCATGTTAGCTTAAACTAGAATGAGCGGTGACCGAAGGCGCGCGCGGGTGACGCGCGTCACCCGCGCGCGCGTACGAGAGGTCGGTATTGTCCACAATCGAAAGGCCGCCATGTTGACTTGGAGACTAGAGTGAACGGTGACCGATTGGGTCTTGAAGTGAACGCGCGTTTGATTAGCTTCCACGTACACGTGCAGCCACATGGTTGCCAAATTCTGTCATTGATATTGTCGAGGGTACGAACGGCTGCTCAGGGCTTGTCAAGGGCTTGCCATGTACGACTGTCGAACGCGGTTAACTGCCACTGGTACCGAAGCTCGGCCACATGGCTGCTCAGGGCTTGTCGAGGGCTGTCAACAGTTATCAATATTGTCAGGGCGTATCACGAGGTCTGTCAAGGGTCTGTATATATGAGCAAAACTCACGCGCGCGAGCAATGAAACAACAAATTATAACATCGCAGAAAAAAACATACATACATGGAGTCATAAAACAGTTATACCTCAAGGAGGTCTGGGTCGAAGGCCACCCTGTCCGCGTCCGAGACGAGTGCGTTGTGGGCCTGCACAGCGTTCGCGAGCGCGCCCCCGTCGTGCCCTGCCTCGTCGGTGTAGCCCGGGTAGAGCTGCCTGCAGAGGGCGGAGCAGGCGGCCCGGGAGGCCACGTAGGCAGCGGCCGCATGCTGTTCGCCTGAGCGCAAGCCGAGGCCCCCCTTCCGCAGCTTGAGTTGCGCCTGCCGCCAGGACGCGTCGGTGAGCGAGCAGCCAACCACCTGCTCGAGGCAAGCCCTTGCCCGGTCGTCCAGCCCCTGCAGGGCCGGCGCGCGCGCGGTGGGCGGCGCTACCCGCGCGCTATAGCCCAGCTTGCAAAACGACGCGCGCTGGCGCAGGAGGTGCAAGCCGACCTGCGCGTCCTCCAGTGCCCCCAGCGTGTCCAAAAGTTCCTGTGCCGCGAAGACCCGATTCTTCGCGCGCTGGCAGCAGAAAGCGTCGTCGCCGACGGGCGCCCCTAGGAGCTCGAAGCTCCTGTCCGTGCGGAGGCGAACCCCTGCGGGAAGGCGTTCAGGTCTACTGCGCTGTCAGCGCCGCCGGCTGGGACCACCTCGCACTTCCCAGGCCCGGTGCTAAGTTCGAGTCCCACCGCTGCGAGGGCGGCGACCAGCTCGTGGAAGAGGTGCGCCACGGTGCGCCAGTCGCCCGCCAGAGTCCCGTCGTCCACGAAGAACACCTCGAGGTCGACCTGGCCTGGGGGCGCGGGCCAGACAGGGTCGGGAGCGGCGTGGAGGACCTGTTCTGCGCACCGCTGGAGAGCCAGCGCGAAAAACAAAGGTCCAATAGGGTCGCCTTGCTGGACTCCGCACTCCGAGCGGATCCTGTGCTTGCCGAGGCGGAGGAAAGACGGGCGCGAGTAGCACCAGTCGGCCCACGGCGCCAAACTGGGGAATTCCTCGTGGAGGGCCTGGAGTAGAGCCTGTCTGTCTAAGGTGTTGAACGCGTTGGAGAGGTCAAGCTTGACGAACACCTTCTCGCGGTGCCCCAGGTTGCGTGCCCACCGCTGGCGGGCGACGTGGACAGCCGCCTCGGCCCCTCCAGGCACCGTGACGCCGACTTGGAGCGGCGCCAGGCGGTCGCGCGCCGCGTCGGCGACCTCGCGGCACAGACACTTCCCAACAAGAGGCCGGAGCGTCTCACCGACGGCAACTGGCCGCAAACCACCACCTTTCTTTGGGAGGGCCACCAGGGAGGCGCCGGCGAAACTTTCAGAAACGGAGGCGGGCGCGTGGCCGCAAGCGAGGAAGGCGACCAGGCTGCGCAGCTGTCCAGTGACCTCGTCCCTGTGCGCCGCCGTGCCGAGGGCGTCCTTCAGGTGCTGTGGCCGGAGGCCCGTGGGCCCGGCGGCCGAGCCCCAGGGGAAAGCCCGGACCTCCTTCGCCACCACGGTTTCGTCGACCTGCAAGGCGGCCGCGGCGTGCACGGCAGGAAGGGCGGCCAAGTCCACAGGCTGGCGACTCTGCGGATGTTTGCGGCGCATCTGCTGCAGGACGTCGCGGGTCACGGCCGGCGGCGGCTCACTAACCAAACTGGAGCAGCTCTTGGAGTATTGCGCGTCAGCAGCAAGCTCCAGACACCTCCTGGCCTTGTCGGCGGCGGTGGCGCTTAGCTTGGCCGGGCGTCGCGCCGCGGTCTCGGCCCAAAGGGGAGCCCTTTCGCCGTCCAGCCAACGTCTGCGGAGCTGCCTCGTCTCCGCCTCGGCCGCGTGCCGGCTGCCGCGCCCTCCCCGGGCGTGGGGGCGCAGCGCGCACTTGGGAAGCATAGCCAGCTGGACCCAAGCCGCCTCGCTGTCGGCGTGAACGACGAGGGCCGTGGCCTGCGTCAAGCACCGCGCCCAGAGGCCCCGAGCACCCTTAGGGACGTACTTCCTCGTGCCGGCCTGGCTGGCAAAGACCTCTTCCAGTGAAGGCAACCCTCGCGGCGCGGGCAGCTCGCTGTTGGGTGCAGACGGCGCAGCGTCGGCGGCCGCAGCTCGAGCAGCGGGGCGGCATCTCGGGCATACCTGCCCAAACCGCGTGTGGAGGAAACGTTGGCAAACCGTGCATTGCGATAGGCTGCGTCCGTCCAGGTAGGCCTGTGGGACCGGCGGCAAGCCTGGGAACCTGCCGGCCGCATGCTCATTGAGGTGTTGTCGCATTGCCTGATGGTCTGACCAGCCGGCGCTGGCGGCAAGATCGCTCCGAGGGCAGCCGGGGACGGGGCAACCAACGCGGGCGCGCCGGGCGCGGCGCCGTGGAGGGGCCTCGGCTGCGTCTTCAGCTGGTGGAGGCGGCGGCGGGGGAGCTGCACTGGGCGCCGCGGCAGCCGCCTGCGGGGCGGCCATGGGCTCCGCGGCGGGAGCTGCGGCGGGACCTGCGGCCGCGGCGGCCTGACCATGCCCCGCCGGCGGGGCCGCCGCGGGAGGCTGGTCAAGGACAGCGCCGGCTGGTCAAGGGCAGCGCCGGCCAGGGTGCGGTCCTCCTTGGCTCCGGCTGCGGAGACCCGAAGCCGCGGTCCGATTACTTGCCAAATGCCTTGCGCCGCAGCACCCGCAAGTGTACCACATGCCGCGCGCCATCCAAATCCAGGACATTTGGTTGCGCTGCCCACGCACATGCATCAGCGAATCAGCAGGGCGGTCCTCCTTGCTCCGTCTGCGGAGAATCGAAGCCAAGGTCTCATTCCCTGCCAGATGCCTTACGCCGCAGCATCCGCAAGTGTACCACATGCCCCGCACCATCCAGATCCAGGACATGTGTTTGTGGAGTCGACACCGACGTCGACCCTGTACGTTTGGGCCCTCGCTCTCGAATTTGTTGCCACTGTGGAGTCGCAACTTCGCAACAGAAACAATCGGGTTCTGCTGCCAGCAGGGGAAGCACGCCATCAATTTCGACGCTTACTGTCGACAACCTGACCGATCCTTGCAAGAGCTT